ATCTCTGCATTATAATGATGTTATCTTTATAAAAAAAATCAATTATTAAAAATATTAACTCAGAAAAGGATTGCAGATTGTGAGCCTCTTGCATTAGTGATCTGCCTCACAAAGAAAAAATACACAGACCAGAAAACGTTTGAATAATCGCTAATCTGTGTTCTGGGTGAGGGAGAATGAAAGACCCTCCTGCTGATCAATGATCACTTGACAGTATATAGTAGAATGTTCCAAGCTGCTTCAAAAATATGTAAATCAGACAAAAATTGACACTGAACCACATATTAGGACAGGTGACCAATAACTTTGCTGAAAACTATAGTGTTTTAAGATTAAAAACGAAAGAACTGCGGATGCTGTAAATCGGGAACAAAAAAAAAGTTGCTGGAAAAGCTCAGCAGGTCTAGGGAAGGGACCCGAAACGTTAACTTTGTTTTTTCCTTCACACATGGTGCCGGACCTGCTGAGCTTTTCCAGCAACTTTGTTTCTGTTCCCTGTTTTAAAAGTAGTCTTAAAGATGGATGGGTTTTGGAAGGGAATTCCAGAGTTTCAATCGATCTTAACAGTGCTGTTCTCTGCAGTTGAATTTCATTTGAGGGGAGAAGAAGATGGGAGCTGAAAACTGAACTTGTTTTGTTTCTAATTGAGTGATGCCTGAACTTAAATGTTGTTCTGCGAAGCTGTTTGAAATTTCTCCTTTGCTTCCTGTGTAGCCGACCAACAAAAGTGTGCGAGTCCCTCTACAGGACGTTTTGCCTCAGTATAATGTTCAGCGGGACGTGAAGACCCCCTCTAATAAGAGGCGTTCGGAGATTCTGCCAGGGTCTAACCTGACGCCCCTGATGCGCAGGCTGCAGCTAATAGTAAGTGAAGACAGTCTGGCAATGGAACAAGTTCCATGCTGGAAAACTATCGGTATGGTTCCAGAGCAATTGAAACATAGAAACGGGACAGGGCTATGTTGCCCCTTAAGCATGTTTCACCACTCAGTCAGATCATGGCTAAGGTATGTCCGGAACAACACCTTAGTTTCAATGCTGCTCTTGGTAAATGAATCAATTCAGTGGTTCAGGGTGAATCTGCAACGCATGTTTCACAGACTCATGATTTTAGCTTTTGTCTCTTTTGGTTAGATTGAGAAACAGTTTTCTATATATCATGGACGCTTTGTTCCAGATTAGTTTATAATGGTACCACAGAAACTGGTGTGTAGTTGCAGCAATTTTGGACTACATTTGCTAGAGTTTGGAAGAATGAGGGATAATCTCCTAGAAAAAGATTCTAGTAGGGCTAGACAGAGTAAATGCAGGAAGGACATTCTGGATGGCTGGAGAGTGCAGACACTGGAGTCTCAATCGCAAAACATGGGGTAGGCTTTTTGGAACTGAGATGAAGAGGAATTTATTCACCCAGAAAGTGGTGAGTCTGTAGCATCTTCTGCCATCACTAAGGTGAAAGCATTGAATATTTTCAATGAGTTTGACATAGTTCTTGGAGCTAAAGGGGTCAAAGATATGGGGAGAAAGCAGTAACAGAGTATTAAGTTGGATGATTGCCAATGATCAAATTGCATGGTGGAGCAGGCTTGAAGGTCCAAATGGTTTGCTCCTATTTTCTAAGTTTCTGTGCTGCACTCGAGCATCCTCACATCTTTCTTCTTCAATAACTATCATGTGATCCTTAATTTCCCTCTTGATCAGATGTTTCTACAGTGTTATGATCCTAGTGGTTGGTAATACTGGACAAGCCAGATCTGAGTGAAGCCTGGCTTGATAGATTCAATGTTTTATTTTTACCATTTGTTTTCAGAAGTGGTCAGTCACAGAATATATTCACAAGAGGCTGTCAGTACTCCTTTGTGGAAAGAACACAAAAATTTGTACACACAATAAACAAAGCATATGTTTGACAATTAAGGACGATCTTAACATAGCAAAAAGAACAATTCAGTGCTTTTCCCAGCAATATCCTTTTTATATTGCTCAACCCTTGTGAAGTAACTCTCCTATCTTCACTATTTAAATTCTTACTGAAGTGACAAGGTTGCAAGTATTTCCTTTCACCTACTTTCTATACATTCACCAGATGTGATTCTCTCTTACTATCTCTCCTCAAGATTTACAGCCACCAGCTGCTTCAAGGACATTTTTGTAACTGAACTTTAAGGAAAACCTTCTTTACTTAAACTGCTAAAAGAGTTTTAAAACATCTTTCCAGCTCTGAAAGCCTAACTACTATAAGTGAAGTGCCCTCCATCTAGTCTGAAACTGTTCTTCTCAACTCAAACTGCACTGTGGCTTCAGTCTGTCTTTCTGGATTTCATAAAAGTTCAACTTGTAAATATTTACTTGATTAACTTCTCAGGTAGTTTATCTAGTCTCAAACAAAGAACTGCAGTGGGTCTGGCAGCATCTGTGGGGAGAAAGTAGAGTTAACGTTTTGAGTGTTGACTCTTCATCCGACATCCACTTTAAAATCCCAAATGATCTGGATGAGGGAACCAAATGCAGCATTTCCAAATTTGCTGTTGACACAAAAATAGGTGGGGGTTGTGAGGAAATGCAGGTGAGTTGAGTGAATGGGCAAACACATTGCCGCTGCAGTACAACGTGGCTAACTGCGAAGCTACGTATTTCAGTGTGAAAAACAGAAAGGAAGAATATGATTTAAATGGATATATATTGGGAAGTGTGGATGTACAAAGGGATCTAGGTGGCCTTGTATACCTGTCAACAAAAGTAGACAGGCAGGTGCAGCAAACAATTAGAAATTCAAATGGTATGTTGGCCTTCATTGCAAGATGATTTAAGTTCACAACTAGGAATATCTTACTGCAGCCTTGGTGAAACCAGACCTGGAGTACTGTGTGCATCATTGGCCTCATTACCTTGCCATAGAAGGAGTACAGAGGAGGTTCACTGGGCTGATACTGGGGGTAACAGGACTGTCCTATGAGGAGAGCATGGTTTGACTGGGCTTGTGTTGATGAGTTTAGAAGGATGAGAGGGGATCTGATTGAAATGTGTCAAGTTGTCAAAGGGCTGGATAGACTAGATGCAGGGTGAATGTTTTCATTGCGTGGGGAGCCTAGAATAAAGAGACATAGTCACAGGATACAGGGTAGACCATTTAGAATGGAAATGTGGAAACATTTCTTCACTGAGAGAAAGTGAATCTGTGGAATTCTCGACCACAGAAGGCTGTGGAGGCCAAGTCACTGAATGTATATGGGGAAGAGAGAGAAACATGTTTAGATTTTAAAGGCATACAGGGTATGGGGAGAAAATTAGAATATGGCATTGAGTCAGAGGATCAGTCGCTATCATATTGACATGTGGAGTAGGATTGAAGAGCTGAATGGCCTACTCCTGCACCTAGTTACTATTTCTATGTACTATATTATAAACCTTTTTATTACAATAGATTTCCCTCAATGGATCCATTATAAAGTATTTGCTTGCTGCTCCCTGAACTCCATGGAATCACCAGTTAACGTTGCAAAGGTTGAAAAATGGAAAAGCAAACTTGCACTTTTCACAACCTCAAGACAATCTACATTCAAACATGCTAAGTTCTTGCACAAAAATGTTTCCTCTGGCTGGTGCTTCTCGAACCAGGAAGCACAGTTTTAGAATAAGGAGCAAACCATTTGGGACTGAGATAGTGAGGAAGCTTTACATTTGGAGGTGAGAGTCTTTGGCATACATTACCAGAGACACCAGTGGCTCAGTCATAGAATCGTACACTTTTACAGTCCGGAAGAGGCCCTTTGGCTCACCAAGTCTATTCTGCCAAAAATATATTATTACTTATGCTAGCCCTACTTTCCTGCACTAGGCCAATAGCCTTGCATGTTATGACGCTTTAAATAGTTGGGATCGATAGATGTCTACACAAAAACATCAAGGGATGCTGGGGAAATGGTGAAGTAGATGATCAGCTATGATCTTAAGGGCAGAAGGGGGTCAAAGGGCTGAATTGCTGCCTCCTGATTCTTATGTTGAGCCTTTTATACAGTAAATGATGTACCTCTAGAATGTTGTCAGTAGTACTACAGGAAAGGTGGCAGCTAATTTGTGTACAGTGAGCTACCCAGACAACAGGAATAATGGTCCACCGATAGGATTTGTTTTAGGGATCTTTATCTTTAAAGCATGTTTTCAAGGGTCAGATGCTATATGCTTGCTCTTCACTTATTTTCCTTGGAAGCAACTGACACAAGAAGTCAGGCTAAGTTTCATGTCTTATCAAAACGTCAGCATTGCTGAAGTTCACACAAAAAAAAAGAAAAATTATCAGGATTAAAATCTGCTACTGACCAGCTATTGCATGTGCGCACTGTCACACAGTCTAAATCCATCGCACCATCTCTGAATGTTCATGGCATTGCTTTGGTGGGAGCTTGCTATATGCACATTCACTGCTGTTTCCCACAACATTCTTGCACCCGAACTTTAAAAAAACTTAATTGCCTGAGGATGTGACAGGTGCTCTAGAAATGCAAATTTTACGTTCCTATTCCTCATGAAATCACCTGAAGATATTGTCTGATTTATATTGGTATGTGTTCAGTGCCTATATTTGATTTTGGGGGAAAAATATCTCCTGAGAGTCTTTGCTTTGAACTTGCAGGATGATGGCCTGCCAGGTCTGGAGCTGGTTTACGAAGATTCCGGTCAAAAAGTCTTTGTGGTAGAAGACAGTGTTTGTGTTCCCCAGACGAGGACCTTGACTCCACTGGCGATGCATGCAGCCGAACCTGGACTTAACAGTGCAGTTCCTGAGATCGTGCTGACAAAGGCCAAGAATCCGGTTCTAACGTGTGTAAATGGGGAAGCACTTACATGCCTTGTACACAAAGGAGAGCCAGTAAAAATCGAGGCAAAGGAAAACCCCAAGCTGCCACTCAGTGACATTGCCATAACCTCAGGGTTGGCATCAGGTGGACCTTCAAGTCTCATTGAGACAGTGGCTGGACCAAGTCTTGGGCTCGAGGTGGCTGAAGGGAACTCTCTGCCCTCGCGACTAGAGATGGCAGGACAGCCAGACGGACCTCAAAGCGATTGCCCTGTGGTTTTGACAGAGAATTCCTGTGCCATCCTCCCTGAAATTGACACAGCTGAGGCTCTTGAGGAAGTTCTGCTTGGTAACTTGACATCAGTTGATGGGTTCTCCACACCTCTTAGCACTGGAACTGTGGGTGCAAGTGTAGGGATGTTGTCCTGCATCGAGTTGAGGCAATCGAAGGATGTTGTGAAATTTGGGGAGTTGAAACGAGATGGGGAGGGTGGTGGGGAGGAGGTGGACCCGTGGAAGATGGAGGCAAAGCAGGATGAGGGGATTACTGAGGAGGTGAGGCGAGTGAGTACAGGGCAGATGGAGAGGGAGGAAGTTGGTCAGAGGGAGGGGGATTGGGTGGAGATAGGGCAAAATGTGGGTGCTGTGGAGGAGCTGAGGCAGATGGTAAGGGACAGCGTGAACATAAAACAGATGAAAGGGGAAAGGGAGGAGGTTGGGCAGGTGGAGGTGGGGCAGGAGGAGGCTGCCGTGGGAGAGGTGGAACCGGCAGAGGGTGAGGAGGTGGAGCTGGCAGGAGAGGCCAGGGAGGAGGTGGACCCAGTGGAGGGAGATGGGGTGGAAGCGGGGGCAGCCGGGGAGGAGGTGGGCCCAGTGGAGGGAGACGGGGAGGAGGCGGGCCCAGTGGAGGGAGACGGGGAGGAGGCGGGGGCAGCCGGGGAGGAGGCGGGCCCAATGGAGGGAGACGGGGAGGAGGCGGGGGCAGCCGGGGAGGAGGCGGGGGCAGTGGAGGGAGACGGGGAGGAGGCGGGGGCAATGGAGGGAGACGGGGAGAAGGCGGGGGCAGCTGGGGAGGAGGTGGGGCCGGCGGATGGTGCTTGCCAAGAGGTGGAGCAGGTGGAGATGGGCACCAGCCCCATGCCAGCTGCAGAGCCATGTGCGCTGACGTGCCTCACCCACGCTGGGATTATGCAAACGCGGATAAATACCTGGACATTGCTGGCAGAAGGAATGGGCTGGAACCGGGTCACCTACGAAGAGGTCAGCACTGCAGTTACTCCTGTGGGAACAGACTGTCGCTCAACCTGTGTGACCCCTGTCAGCTTGGCTGAGAAGGCCATCAATACGTCCACATCAGAGGGAGCCTGTACTGAAATGATGGACAGTGCAGTGCTCACAGATTCTCTACTCTGGAAGTAAGTGGTTAAATTATTGGAACCAGTAATCTAGAGACTGAAAGTTGGAATGGCATGCTGATAATTTCAGGATTTCTTCTGAAGGGTAATACATGCTGATCTAGCCAGTAAATCCCATGAATGAATTTAAAAAATTGAATTTGGTTTAATATTCTGAAAATAAGTGGCAGATTTTAGTAAAAGTGTAGCTTTTGGATTGTCATAAAAGAAAACTGGTTGGTTCACTGATGTGATGTAAGAAACTGATCTGGTCATATGTAACTTCAGTTCCATAGCAATATGTTGCAATATGAGTGGTTCAAAACAGTGATTCACTGGCCTGCCACCACCACAGTGCAGCTTAGATAGGCAGCAACAATATCCTCTTTTCTGAGTGAATTTATCCCCAAAATATTCCATGCTAATCTTAATGTGAAGTTTGAGGGCCCTCCAGTGGACAGCACTTGATGCTGCAGGATGACAGACTGAGTGTGGCATATACTTAATGCCAGCTCCCACCTGTTCTGATACTTTTCTTTGTAAATTTCTTCTTCCTTTTTCTCTCTCTATTTTTGTTCTTTTTTTTGACAGCTTATTCCCTGGAGTATCTGAGGGACATGTGGGTTGGCTCTGAAATTACCAGTGCTTGGTACTAAAGCGTCGCTGACAAGTGTGTCACTTCACTGCCTCCCAAAGCACAGTAATACCCCAACTCCAGTGTTCATTGGGTGATGGGAGTGCAGGGACCTTAATTATGAATCAGCAGGAAGTGTATTTCTTTTTGGCTAGTTAAGTTAAAGGTGTTGATCCCTGAAGGAGGAGATGACTGGAGCTGCAAAAAGCTAACTGGAAAATAGCGATCATTCCAGTTGAGGATTCACAATTACTGGCTGTTATTTGCAGGGTGTTGTTTTTAGACAATAGCAGGACAACTCTGGGGTGTGAATCTCTGATACAAGCTACAGTGGGTTGTGGAGATATCAAACTTGCTGTTGTCTCATTCCTTATTTGGGTAACACCATTGTAAGACACAATCATGCCTCCCTTGTTTCCACCAGGAGTAAGCTTCACCTGCTCCTGAAGTCGCAGAACCTTGTTTTCCCTGTCCTGTCCCAGGATTGCAATCACACTGAGAGGAGGGGGTCCCTTCATTTTGGTTGTGCCATGCCTCAGATTATTCATGACTAGAACCATAGGTTTTGATCACTGGAGCTGCCTGGTGATTTGGCACTGAATTGGTGAATTTCTTCCCTTTTTACTCTTTCTTCTAGCTTTTCCCGAGAGGCTGTGAAATCAGTTCCACGAGAGGATTTGGAACATCGACTAGAGACTTCCCTGCTCATCAATGAGGTTCTGTCTGGCCAGCTGAATGACCTGTCCAAGAGTAAAGGTCTGGGCCTCTGGGCTGGACCAGCAGATCAGAGGGATACCTTCACCCAGACTGACACTTCCCAGACTCCTGAGGTAACTGTCCTGTGCATTACTGCAGATATATCTTTGACTCTGTGCCTTCTCTGTTGGTGGAATGGGTCTCATGATAGCATTTGCAGTAATTGGCATTAGGTTGTGTTGGAAACCAATTAATTCATAGAATTTGCAGATGTTTCTGCTCCACATGAGCTTTGTCCCACACCTCTTCATCTCACCCTGTCACCATATCCTTCTATTGCTTTCCTTTCTACCTTATATTTTATCCAGCCTCCCTTTAAATATATTGATACAATTCACTTTGACCACTTCTTTGAGTTCCACATTCTCACCACCTTGGGTAAAGAAGAAACTCCTGAATTCCAGGTTGTTTTTATTACTGACTGTCTTGTACTCATGGCACTTCTGAACTTCTGAAGTGGGCAACATCGTTGTCAAAACCTATTATAATAAAGATATTCATCAGGTCCTCAATCTTTTTAGAGAAAACAGCCTGGTCTGTCCAATCAGTCTTGATAGGTGTGGCCTGGTCTCTCTGGTATCCTTTTTCAATCTTGCTGCATCATTTCCCCTACCTCTACATATCCTATCTGGAGGCCAGAACAGGGTACAGCACTGTGTGTGGTCTAACTGTAGCTCTATACACGGTTTAGCATGTCTTTTGAAGTAGTCATCGTGTGGAATTCCACTTCTTTTCATTAACCAAGACACTATAGCTTTAAATAACTCTTCGAAGAATTGTGGGAAATGAGGATGCTGTACTCTGGGAGCAATTGTCTGGCTCAGTGAAAATATTCCTGCCACAAAGTCTGATATCTTGGGTTCATTCCACACTGCATACAGCCCCAGTTTAGAATTCTTGAGTTGATATCTAGCATTTGTTGGCAGCCTTTTGCCTTCTACTTTCTGCCTGTGCTCAAGGACCTTGTAAAATCCTCCCTGAATCTAGGACTAATTTTCCTTTCAGCTGTGGTAAAGATAGTTATAGTTGAATGAACATACGAACAAGAGTATGCCACTCAGTCCTTCGAGCCTTCTCTTCTGTTCAGTAAGATCATGGCTGCTCTGATTTTAACCTGAAATCTACATTGCATCATAAGAGCATAAGGACATGGAGCAGGACTAGAAAATTCAGCTCCCAGAGCCTGCGCGCTCATTTGTCATAGCTGATCGCATTGCAGCCTCAACTCCACTTCCCTGCCTGCTCTCCACAATCCATTGCTAATTTTAAAAATCTGTCTATCTCCCCATTAATTTCTTCAGTGTCCCGATGTCCACCACACTTTGGGGTAATGAATTTCACAGATTCACAACCCTTTGAGAGGAGTAATTCCTCTCTATCTCTGTTTTAAATTGGCTGCCCCTTATCCTAAAGCTATGACCTCTTGAACAAATGAAAAAATACTGCACAGGAACAGGCCCTTCGGCCTCCAAGCCTGTGCTGACTATCATGCCCTAATTATTCTAAAAACAAACCTGCCATTTTTTAAATCTGTATCCCTCTATTCCTTCCTTATTCAGGTACCATCTAAGTGCCTCCACAATGTGCCCGCTTCCTCCTCCACCTCTGGTAGTGCATTCCAGGCTGCTACCACTCTGCGTGAAAAACTTCCCTCGCACATCTCCCTTAAACTTTCCCCCTCTGACCTTGAACATGTGCCCCCTTGTAATTGAAGCTTCAACCCTGGGGAAAAGCCTCTGACTCTCCACCCTATCTATGCCTCTCATAATTTTGTAGATCTCTATCAGGTCTCCTCTCAGCTGCCGTCTTTCCAGTGAAAACAATCCTAGTCTTTTTAACCTTTCCTCATGGTCAATGCCCTGGGGACCAGGCAACATCCTGGTGAACCTTCTCTGTACTCTGTCCAAAGCTTCCACATCCTTCTGTTGGTGTGGTGATCAACACTGCACACAATACTCCAAACGTAGTCAAACAAGGGTTTTATATAGGTGCAACATGTTTTGCTGATTCTTGTACTCCATGCCCTGGGTGATGAAGGCAAGCATGCCATATGCCTTCTTAATCACCTTGGCTACCTGTGTTGCCACTTTCAGAGAACTGTGGACCTGCACGCCCAGATCCATCTGAATGTTAGTGTTCTTGTTTTAGATTGCCCCACAAGGGAAAACATCTTCTTTATGTCTACTGTGTCAACACCCTTTCGGCATTTTCTGTACCCCAATTAGACTTTCTGTCATTATAAACGCAAGAATGTGTAGGTGTAAAGTGCTAAATCTCTGCTAAAATAAGCCTTTTATCTCTGGAATTAATTTATTGAGCCTTCTCTGAACTGCCCCCAATGCAATATATATCCTTGCTCAAGTGAGAGGACTAAAACTGTCTGCATGCAGTCTCACCATTATCTTGTACAACTTCAGCAACATTTCCCTATTTTTATACACCATTCCTTTCGCAATAAATGCAGAAATTCCATTTGCTCTCCTTATTACCTGCTGTACCTGCATATTAGCTTTCTGTGAGTCATGCATGAGGACACTGATCCCTCTGCACCAAAGCACTTTGAAGGTTCTCTCTATTTAGATAATTTGCCTTTTTGTTCTTCTGATGAAAGTGGATAACCTCACATGTTAAACTCCATCAGCAAAATCTTGTTCCATTCTCTTAAACTATCCACATCCATTTATAAATTTCTTATTTCTTTGTTGAAGTTATTAATATAGATTGTAAATAGTTGGGGCCTGAGGACCAAACTATGTGGCACCCAGTTTGCCAACTAGGAAACAGACCCTTTTTTTAATCTCCTCTGCTTTCTGTTGGTTAACCAATCCTCTATTCAAACTTTTAAATTACTCCTAATCCCATGTGATCTTACTTTGTGTATTGACCTTTCATGCAGCTCGTTATCAAATACCTTCTAGAAGTCCAGATATACTACATCTACAGGGCCACCATTATCACTTTGCTTGTTACGTTTGGCAAATCAGTCAAATATGATTTAGCCTTCATAGAGCCATGCTGACTCTGATGGATTGTGTTTTCATTTTTGAAATGTCCTGTTACAGCTTCTTTAATAATGGATTCCAACAAGTTCCTAATAGAATGTTCATGTGATGCAAGGCTATTAATTAGCATGAAAAATCCTTGTATTGTTTTCCAAACCTGCCGTGTCTATTTCATTTGTGCAGAACTGTTCTGCAGCCACTGAGTGCTGTCAGTGCACTGAAGTCCTGCTGTGCATTGGGGTATTGGGGTTGAATGCTCCCACTGGGATTGGTTTTAGTGGCTTGACTCTTGTAAGAGGTCCACAGACTAATACTGGCTGGTCTGTCTATCTCCCTGCTGCTACGTGCTTCCTCCCACCTCCTCATCTCGCCAGACCACCAAATATCAGAATGGATGAGCTCTAACTCTTTCACTACTTTTAAACCCCCAAAGACGAACAGGTAGTGGTTGAGAATTTGCGTTTAACCATGCTTGTTGTGTCGACAGGTAGAGGATCATTACCGCAGCTTGTATCTGCAGCATGCCACCAGAGTGCGCGATCTGGAGCTGGGTCTGGAGCAGTACCAGCAGCTCCACAGTACAATCTGTAACAGCCACAAACAGCAAGTAAGTAACCACAGCCTGTGCTTGGCTGATCCTACTTGGTTTTATGGAGGTGTCATTGCTGAATTGAGAAATAGCTGTTTATCTAACTGCACATCTACCCTTCTCTCTATTGCTAAATGTTTTCAATTCGTCACAGTTGAGATATTTCTGTAATTGCCTCAGCAGAATTTGCTGATGGAAGAGGTTGAGGAATGTTTGGCCAGTGCAGATGGAGCTTATGAGGAAATGAAGAATGCGCGACTGAAAGTACAGGAGCAGGTAAAAAAACTCAATTGAATTAATGTTAGCTGTCTTTATTTATGCTTCATTCTGGCCCCTTCCTGCTGTCAGGTGTATTGGTGTGACCCAGGGTAAGCGCATATCCCACATGCTGCATCCATTTCCATCTACTGAGATGGTCCTGCTGGGTATGAACCTGGAATTCTGTGGTGGAGATCTGATCATCACTTGCTGGGACTGAACAGGATGAGACTATGAATTACCCTGTGTCAGAACCTCTAACTTTTCAAATTATTCATCCTCTGGGTTATTGCTCATCATGGCAATGTAGTTCCATGTTAGGATGGTATGAATTGAAGAGAAACCAAGGCCTGCTGCCCTCTTCAAACCGGTAAAAGGTGAGGTTTGGAAAGTACCAAGTTGAAGAAGCTTTTGCAAGTTTCTGCAGGATATGGTACACACTGCTTCCACCACGTGCCACTGATGAAAGGAGTGAATGTTAAAGATGGTGACAAAGAGGACAGTAAGTGCAGCACTGGGAGAGTTGTACTTAAATGCATGCAATATATGAAACAAGGTAAATGATCTTGGCGCGCAAGATGGAACGTGGAGGTACAATGTTGTCGGTATCACAGATGTGGCTGCAAAGGGATCAGGGCTGGGAACTAAATATCCAAGGATATGTGTCCTATTGAAAAGACCAGTAGATGGGCCGGGACGGGAGAGGTGTTGCCTTGTCAGTAAGAAATGAAATTAAATTGATAACAAGTTGTAGAGTTGAAAGACACAAAATCTGTGTAGGTAGAGTTGAGGAACAACACGAAAAAAGACAGGGAGTTATGTACAGGCCTCCCAGCATTAGTTAGGGTGTGGGGAAGAAAATAAATCAGGAGACCGAAAAGGCATGTTAAGAAAGACATTTCCAGTAATTATGGGGGACTTCAATGTGCAGGCGGACTGGGAAAATCAGGTTGGTAGCAGATCCCAGAGAGAGAAATTCACAAAATGTCTAAGAGATGTTTTACTTGGGAGCAGCTTGCGGCAGACCCCACTAAGAAACAGGTTTTCTGGATTCAATGATGTGTCATGAAGCAAACTCGATTAGGGAGTTTAAAGTGAAGGAGTTCTTGGGGTAGTGACCATAAAATGTTAGAATTCACAAGCTGGAATCAGATGTATTACAACTGAGTAAAGGTAACTACAAAAATAAGAGGGAGGAGCTGGCCAGAGTTGATTAGAATGGGAGCCTAGCAGGGAAGATGGTGGAACAGCAATGGCAGGAATTTCTGGGGGTAATTTGGGAGACACAGGAGAAATTCATCCCAAGGAAGAAGAAACACACTTAGGGGAGGATGAGCAGCCATGGCTGACAAAGGAAGTTGGGAACAACATAAACGCAAAAGAAAAAGCATAAAATGTGGTGAAGATTAGTGGGAAACCAGAAGATTGGGAACCTTTAAAACACAGCGCAGGGTAACAAAAAAACAATAAGGGAGGAGAAAATGAAATATGAGAGTAAGCTAGCTCGTAGTATAACAGAAGATTGCTATAGTTTTTAAATATCTAACAGTTAAGAGACAGGCAAGGGTGTATATTGGACCATTGGAAAATATGGCTGGAAAAGTAAAAATAGGGAACAAAGAAAAGGCAGAGAACTGAATAGGTACTTTGCATCAGTTTTCACAGTGGAAAGTACCAGTGGCATATCAGAATTTAAAGAGTCAAGGGGCAGAGGTGAGTGTAGTGGCCACCACTAAGAAGAAGTTGCTGGGAAAGCTGAAAGGTCTGAAGGTAGATAAATCACCTGGACTAGATGGATGACACCCTGTGGATCTGAAGGAGATAGTGGAGGCATTGGTGATATTTCAGGAATCACTGGAGTTTGGGAGGGTCCCAGAGGACTGGAAAATGGCTAATATAACGCCCCCTGCTTAAGAAGGGAGGGAGGCAGAAGACTGGAAACTGTAGGCCGGTTAACCTGACCTCGGTTGTTAGTAAGATTTTGGAGTCCATCTTTGAGGAGATTGTGAAGCACTTGGAGGTGCATGGTAAAATAGCACAGCTTTGTCAAGGGGAGGTCATGTCTGACAAATCTGTTGGAATTCTTTGAGGAGGTAACAAGCAAGTTAGACAAAGGAAAGTCAGTGGATGTGAACTATTTGGAGTTATGGAAGGCCTTTGACATAGTACTGAATAGGAAGCTGCTAAATAAGATAAGAGCCCATGGTATTATGGGTAAGGTACAAGCATGGATAGAGGATTGGCTGACTGGCAGAAGGCAGACTGTGTGAATAAAGGTGTCTTTTTTCAGAATGGCAGCCAGTGACTACTGGAATTCCACAGAATTCCATGTTGTGACCACAGCTATTCACGTTATATATTAACGGATGAAGGAATGGAGGACATTGGTGCTAAGTTTGCAGATGACAAAGATAGGTGGAGGGACAGGTAATATTGAGGAGGTGGGGAGGCTGCAGAAGGACTTGGACATGATGGTGAGTGGACAATAATACGGGAAAGTGTGAGGTTATGCACTTTGTAGGAAGAATAGATGTGTGGACTATTGTCTAAATTGGAAAGGTTTGGAAGCCTGAAGCACAAAGGGATTTAGGAATCCTACCTCAGGATTCTCTTGAAATTAACATGCAGGTTCAATTGATGGTTAGGGAGGTCAATGCAATATTAGTATTCGTTCGAGAGGGTTAGAATACAAGAGCAGAAATGTACTGCTGAGGCTGTATAAGGTTCTGGTCGAACTGCATTAGAATATGGTGAGTAGTTTTGGGCCCCATATTGGAGGGAGGATGTGCTGGTGTTGGAGGGGCATCCAGAGGAGGTTTAAAAGAATGATCCTGGACGTGATGGGCTGGTCATTTGTGGATTTCTGGGTCTGTACTCCATGGAGTTTAAAAGAATGAGGGGAGATCTGGTGGAAACTTAGAGAATAGTGAGTGGCCTGGATAGAATGGACACAGAGAAAATGTTTCCATATTGTCAAGGGACAATGGTTAGATTCTCTTGCTGGAGATTGTCATTGCCTGACACGACAGCAGCATTAATGTCAGATCAGCTCAAAACTGAATGTTGGCTTGATCATGCTACTGTCAGGCATAGACTGCTTCATTCCCCAAATAGTTAGAAGTAGAATTGAAGTCTGCACAATTATTAGTAAACATCCCCATTCTTGAACTGGTGATGGAGGGAAGATCATTGTAGCAGCTGTTTTCTCCCCCTCTCAAGCTACAGAAAATGGAATAACCTTCTGTCAGACCACAACCAGAGCAACTCTTAATAGCCTGTTGAGAATAGTTATTGGGTGCAATGCAATCGATTTTTCCATCTGATTTTAAAGACTCCCCACCAGTCATAGTCACACAGCATGGAAACAGACCCTTCAGTCCAGCTCAGCCATGCTGACCAGATATCCTAAACTGAACTAATCCCATTTGCCAGCATTTGGCTCATATCCCTCTAAATCCTTCCTATTCATATATCCATCGACATGACGTTTAAATGTTGTAATTGTGCCAGCCACCACCACTTCCTCTGGCACCTCATTCCATACATGCACCACCCTCTGTGTGAAAAAGTTACCTTTTAAATCTTTCCGCTCTCACTTAAACCTATACCCTCTAGTTTTGCACTCTTATCCTTCCCCCACCCCAAGGAAAAGACCTTGGCTATTCACTTTATCCATGTCCCTCATGATTTTATAAACTTCTATAAGGTCACCTCTCAGCCAGTGACGCTCCAGGGAAAATAGCCACAGCCTATTCAGCCTCTCCCTATAGCTCAAACCCTCCAATCCCAGCAGCATCTTTGTAAATCCTTTCTGAACCCTTTCAAGTTTGACAACAGCTTTCCTATAGCAGGGACAACAAAACTGAATGCAGTATTCTAAAAGTGGCCTGACCATGTCCTGTACAGCTGCAATATGACCTACCAATTCCCATACTTGATGTGCTGATCAATGAATGCAAATGTGCCAAACACTGTCTTCACTGCCCTGTCTACTTGGGACTGCACTTTCAAGGAACTATGCACCTGTACGCCTAGGTGTCTTTGTTTAGCAACACTCCCCTAAGCCTTACCATTAACTGTATAAGGCTTGCCCTGCAGTTTCTCTGTGGTAAAAAAAATCTTAAAACATTAAGAAAACCAGTTTGTATTCCCTTACCAGTTGTTATACGATGTTGCTTTTTAACCAATAAGATAATGACTTTATAATTTCTAAACCAAGCAACTCCTGCATCCTGCAAGTAAGTGTAAACTGCCTGGAAAAGAATGAGACAGAGCAGTACATCCTGACAAGCCAAAACGATTATCTTGGCGAACCCTACGGACAGGGACCACTGAACAGTTTTCAGAATTTTTCTCCACCCATAACACCAATGTTTTATTGTGCCTGTCTGCATGTGGGGTGTGTGTTGGGGGGGCGGGGAGAGAGTGTTATGAGGGGGTTGCAGTTTCAACCAGTAGAGTTATATGTTGACATTTCATAGATATTTACCTGCTGCTAATAAATAGTAATTCTTGTTAAGTACAATAGCTGGTCTATGCTTTCTATTAACTTGGGTTTAAAAATCTGGTAAATTGGGCAGCTTTGCATAAATGGATAAAATCTTTTGTGACAAGTCTGGAACTTGATTTCCGGGATCCTACTCCAGTCCTAAAATTAGAAATTGCCGTTGTGGTGTTTGTTTCTGAATATGGCATTGTGTCTGCACAGCTGAGAGATGCCAGGAACCTTGCCCACCAGAGTACTGCCCAGCTCCAAGCAATGACCCAGGTAACAGCAAAGGCCCTGGAAGAGAAAGCAACGCTGAAGAAAACAGCAGACGAGGCTGAATGGAAGATGGTTAATGTAAGTACTTGCCTGTTCTGATGATACCCCTGTGAACTGTCAATTCTGCATTATAACTGGAATGAATTAAGCCAGTATTGTTGTTCTGTGAAAATTACTGATTGACTTTGGGTGTTTATGTGGTGGCATCACATACTAATTTTACTGTAAATTTTCTTTGCATAGTAACAGATGGGCCACTTGGCCCATTGTGTGTCTCCTGGTTCACTGAAGGAGCAAATCACTTGGTACTGTTTCGCCACCTTAAACCCACAGACCTACACATTGTTCCTTTTCAAATAATATTCCAATTCCATCTTGAAAGCCTCAATTGAAACTGCTTCAACCATGTTCTCGGGCAATGCTTTTCAGAACCTACCCACTTGCTGCATGAAAATGCATTTTTTCCTGTCATGTGAGCAGTGGTTCTTTCCAGTCACCTTGAATCTGTGCTTTCAGTTCTCAATACTTCCAGCAATAGGAACAGTTTCTCCCTGTCTACTTCCAGCCCCCTCACGATTTTGAAACTTCTGTCAAATCTTCTCTCAACTTTCTCTTTTCCAAGAACAATTCCACATCTCCGACCATATCTGTAATTGAAGCTCCTCAACCCTGAAAGTATTCTCTCAAATCTTTTCATTGCTGTCCCTAAAGACTTAACATTCCTGAAGAATGGTGCCAGGATTTGTAAGGAACACTCTAATTTTTTATGTTAGTTCAGTATAACTTGCTTGCTATTGTACTTTTTTTTTAATTTTTTTATTTAAGTTGTCCACAGGAGATGGGCACTGATAGTTAGGCCAGCATTTATCATCCATCTCTAATTGCCCAGTGGACTGTCACGCATTAGCACATTGCTGTAGGTCTGGAGTCACATGTAGGCCAGACCAGATAAGGACAGATTTCCTTCTCCGAAGGACAGATTTCCTTCTCCAAAGGACATTAGTGAATCAGATGGATTTTTGCAACAATAAACTCCAGACCCACAGCAATGTGGTTGACTCTGAACTGCCCTCTGAGCAATTAGGGATGGGCAATAAATGCTGCCAAGCCAGCGACACCCTCAGCTCGTTAATGAATAAAAAAAAAAGCTAGCTTTTTATTCCAGATTTTATTGAATTCTTATTTCACCACCTGCCATGGTGGTATTCAAATCCATTTTCTCAAACCATTAACATGGGATTCTGGATTACTAGTCCAGTGACATTACCTCCCTGTGCACTTTATTAATAATGTCAAAATACTGTGTGCTTAGCCAATTTCTATGGACTTTACCATAGAGGGTTGTTGAGGCTGGGTTACTACGTATATACAAGGCTGAGATAGACAGATTTTTCATCAGTAAGGGAATTGAGTGTTTTGGGGAAAAGGCAGGAAATTGGAATTGAGGATTATCAGATTAGCCATGATTCCATTGAATGGTAGAGAAGACAAGATGGGCTGAATGGCCTGCTTCAGCTCAAATTTCTTACCCTTTGTATTGTTTTTCCATGTTCTTCATTCCACATGAAAATCCTTCATGTTTATTTATGTTAAATTTTATCTGCCACTAGTCTGCCCATTCCACAAATGTTTGTTTGTTTTTGAAGGTCTACACTGTTCTCCCCACAACTTATAATACAAGCATTGTATCATCAAATTTTGAAATTGTACCCTGAACACCAACACCTGGGTCATTAATATCCGGAAGAGCAAGGGTCCTAACACTGACCCAGAGGAGCTCCACTATAAACTTTATTCAACCTATAAAGCAACCATTCATTAACTTTGTTTTGTGTCAGTCAACTAACCTTGTATCCACGTTTCCTCCTATCTTTCCATTTTCTAAATTTGCTCACAATCTGTGTGGCACAATATCAAATGTATCAGTAAATCTTTTATATACTTCACCAACCCTTACAATTACTCCCTCAAAAAAAACTTCCAATTAAACAATCTCCAGTCTTCTGAGACAACACCCGAGTCCAAGGACACTTACATTTTAATGATACTGCTAGGATTCTACTGTTCAGCAGCCTCTGCTCCAGTAATACAGATCTCCTGTCATTTGAGGGTTTTACATTGGGGATGTGGCTGCGGAAATAAACCCACCAAGCATTTTCCCCATATGGGATGTCAAACCCAATGCCTTTCCCACTGTCTTTTTTTTTGTTTAAGGCCCTGGCTTGTATTTAAATGTGCACTGTGTGTAAATAAATATTTTTGTGGCCCAGATGCAACAGGAACTGGAACAAACTGCGTATGAGCTCCATGGTGCCCTGGACAAAATCAAACGGCTGGAATGTGAGAATCTGCAACTGAAATCCGGTGAGTTTGTAGGTGGCAGCAAATGCCACTCTCAGCCCATCATTTGAGTACAGTATTGAAGGGCCGCTGCACTGTTCCAGTGTTTTTTTTCTCCAAAAGATCCATTAAGCCTCCTTTTCCTTATCTGCTTGCTTTATGAATGTAGAAGATTCCATAGTATTATTCACAGAAGAGTAGCAGATCTGGACAGTCATTAACAGGGCTAAGCATCAACTCATCCACCCCATTTTCACTCCTGAACATGAAGACACAATCTGTTGCGAACCACAGAGTATTTAACCTTTCAATACCTGTTCCAGGGCTGGAAATCATGACCGATCAGCTAGCCAAGGTGGAGGAAGAACGAGACAAGCTGATGAAGGACAAGGGTAAATGCAATGTGGAATTGGCAAGAACTGAGGCAGCACTGAAACTTTCTCAGGCGACACTAGTTGAGAAAAAGGAAAAGTGAGTCAGCTTTGCCTCTAAGGTGCCATTACATGTTTGCTCCAGTGGTTGGATTATGTGGCAGTAATTATTCATGGTTGTAACTATGAATATGTCCTTCTCACCTTGCTCTAGGTTGCAGACCTGTGAAGCACAGAATGAGGAGCTGTCAGATACTCTAAGGGAGAATGTAAAAAGGTAATAATGTGCAGAAAGCCTGCTGTATTTGCCAAAATGAGCCCCTGTGACTTAGTGACTCTCTGAGACTCGTGTATGACACCAACAGGACAGACCATTGTTGAAAGTTGCTATTGAAATATTGGACTTTATATTGTAGCATTCTCAAGACTAAGGGGTGGAAGTTACTCATATCACATTGTAGATAAATCCTATCTGGAGTAACAGTTTAGTCCTGAACACTGCACCTTTGGAAGAATAGGTTTGCTTTACAGGAGGTGCAATGTAGATTTGCTAGAATAATATCCTGCTAAAAGGCTTAAACGATGAGGTTACATAGACTAGCCTAACAATCTCCTCCACTTGAGAGATCTAACTGAAGTGTTTAAAATGATTAAAATGTTCAAACGGGTAGATAAGGGAAAAAGTTGCCCCCTTCGGTGGGGCGGGGGTGGGTAAGTCCAGAATAAGGTGATATAGAAACATGGAACATAGGAGTAGACCATTTGGCCCATCCATCCTGGTCTACTATTCAACATGATCATAGCTGCCGTATTTCACTGCCGTACTCCATGCTCACCCCGTACTCCTTCACACCTTTTTGGTGTCCAGAAACCCATTTATCTTTTTGCTTAAAGTAAGTGACCACCTCCACAGGTAGTAAAGAATCCGGCAGGTTCACCATCCTCTGAGTAAAGATATTTCTCCTTGTCTCAGTCAGAAATGCCTTACTGCACACCCTGATACCATGGACCTCGAAACCAAGAGAAGTATCATCTTTGTATCCAGTCTGTCCAAGCCTGTCAGAATTGTCTATGTTTCGATGAGATCCCCTCAATCTTCTAAATTCCAGTGAATACAGGCCCAGGCAACTCCATCTCTTCACATATGATAAATCTGCCATCCCAGGAATCACGCTTGAACCTTCTCTGCCCTCTATGGCAATGATATCCTTTTCTGAGTAAGGAGACCGAAACTATGCACACTACTCCAGCTGTGGTCTCACCAAATTTCTCTACAACTGCAGTAAAATTTGATTGATTCTGTACTCAAACTCTCTTGCAATGAAGGCCAACATACCATTTGCCCTCCTAACTGTTGCTGCCTGTATGCTTGCTTTCAGTGACCATTGTACAGGGGATTCTGCTATAACACGATAGTTGCGTTCCAGTGCAACTTCGTGCTACAGAGATAATGGGGCCTATGGGAAAAGTGGGGTTACGGGCAGAGCACCAAAAAAAATCACTCAACACTCAAACACACAAATTCCATGTGTATGTGTGTGTCCCTCACTCGTTCCACACACGCGTGTCTCTCACTCCCTGCATCCATCCTTATCTCTGTGATCTAATCCAGTTCCCTATATCTCTGTAACTACAGAAACTCCAATCCCTAAAGCCCTTTCTCCCACTAACATTTTTGAGCACCTGCAACTCTCCGGAACATTCTTGAGCACCTGTCAGCCTCCCTAACCCTAACTCTACCTGTCCCTTCAATTCCTAGTATCCGTATAACTTTCCACAGCTGGTATAAACCTCCCTATCTCTGTAACCTCTATCCATCCCTTTAACCCCCACTATCACTGAAATACTCCCTGCATTTGCAACAAGACAAATAAAATTACAGCATTAACTGAAGTGAACAGATACGATCTGTCATTATGGAGATGTGGCAGCAGAATGACCGTGGCTGGGAAGTGACTAATCACAGTCCTTCCCATGGTCCACGTGTTGTACTAGCCTGTTTTACAGGAACCACTGACCTTTCTCAATTTTGCTCAAGTCACTGTTCTCCATATAGAACTTGATGGTGAATGTTGGTAAGCTATCTGCTCCACAGTCAACCAAGCCTGAATTCTCCTCACTGTTGTACAATAACAGCTTCCAGAAGAGGGAACTGATATTTCAAGAACAGGTATTTTGACTATTTTTATACAAGTTTCTTGGGCTAGCTTTGACAGTGGCCATCAAATCTTGCATGCAGACCTCCTCAATTTTTGAGTGCTCCATATTTATTTCGTCTTCGAGCAAAGGGAGGGGTTAGGATTTGTATTTAATGTCAAAGATAAACAGAGACAGATAAGTGGCTGCTGAAAATAACTGCAACTTCTAAGTATGTGACAGTGAGGTTTTGGTGAGAAAGGCAGGTGTGTTAGACTATGAACATGAATAGACGCACAGTTTACAACAACAAGAAAGTTCTGCTAAAACTTTGAATCACTGGTTAACTTTCAGCTTGAGTATTGTGGGTCAAAGAAAAACATTCAGTAACAACTTTGAAAAATAAATTGAATAAATTTTTGAAAACCAAAAAGCAGGTTGATAGGGAAAGAATGGTGAAGTGGCACTATTTTGATTCCTTTCTTAAAGAGCAAATCCAGTGGACTCGATGGGTTTGCCTTACAGCAAGCACAGGGTTTGCTTTACAGCTGGCACAGGGTTTGCGTTATAGAAATAGCGTAGCCCTATTTGTCAATCACGTTAATGCCAATTCGCGTTGCTGGAACACTCATTATAGCAGAACCCCCATACAAAGATACCCAGGTCCCTTTGTACATCAACTTTTCCCAGTCTATCAGCATTTAAATAATAGCTTGCCATTCTGATTTTCTTCTTACCAAACTGGATGACTTCATATTTGTCCACATTTATACTGCCTTTGTTCACTCATTCAATTTGTCTAAATTACCCAGAAGCTTCTCTATCATCTTCACTACTCATGGTCCCACTTTAATGTCATCAGCAAACATGGAAATATTACACCCGATTCCCTCATCTGATTTATTGATATATCCTGTGAATAGCTGGGGCCCATCTTACCCCATTTGTCACCCTCTTCCGCTCTGAAAACAATGCATTTATCCCTACTGTGTTCTGTCTGCTAACCAATTCACAATCCATGCCAGCACATTATAACCAATTCACAATC